CTTCTACAGATCTATAGGAGAGATTGAAAGAAAAGGGAAAAAGGATATAATATGAAATAATAGTCATAAAGGAATGTGGAGAAACAAAAGAAAGGAAACAAAAAAATAAATAAATAGGTAAATAAAATGGAAGAATGAAATTAGAGACTTACGGGTGTGTTCAGCTAGGAGTTTCACTTAGAACTGGAAAACCACGGGGTAAGGGCAGGTATAAGGGAAGCTGACTTGTTTGGATAATGGGGAAAAACCTAGAAAATTACAGTATCTAAAATTTGAAGGTGTGGATCTATGGATACAATGGAAAAATACTATATCTATGAATTATAATTATAAATTCAACATATTTCATTATCGGGATCATCGGTAATGAACAAGCCGATTAAGCATCCAACATTACAAGAACGCCAGATAAAATATCCGTGGAATCAATTAATGAAATCCCTCTAGAGGATTACGTTAAAAAAATTAAGGAGAATGTGTGGAACATGTGGCAAAACAAATGGGAACAAGGAGAATCGAAATTAAAAGAAATTAAACCCCACTGTTTAAAATGGGAAACCTCTCACCGATCGTCTAGAAAAGAGTAAACAGCCCTTTGCAGATTGCGAATTGGACATTGTGAGTTCTCGCACTCCTACCTACTAAGAGGACTTGATCCTCCGACCTGCGAGAGCTGCAATTTCCAAAGGACTGTAAAGCACATTATCCAAGACTGCCCTACATTTGAACCAACAAGAAAAAAGTTAGACATGGCACAGTCTAAAAGAAAACCTACAAGACAGTGAAAGTGCAGTAAAAAAAAACTTTAAGGTTTTTAAAAGTGATAAAACTCTACAACAGAGTATAATTCAAAGGTGTTGCCAATGACCCTACAGGCTCGAGGCAACAAAACATCAAATAAATAAATAAATTATAAATATATACATATACATATAAAATAGTATTAAGAGATTAAAGATAAGAGTACAATGTGAATAAACACAAAATTGGCAGAGGTAAAATATAAATATTGAAGTATCATTCAATATTTATATTTCAACTTCATTTACATACATACAATGCAGAACTAACTTAGAAGTATGGAGAGGGAAAACAATTAACAATTATAATTATATTTGTTTATATATATGTAAGAAAATTACATTTGAATATTAGATAATATTGAGACGTGGTTAATAAGTAAAATGAATAAAAAGTGGAAAAAGGATGATCATACATTGATGTAGAGTGTAAATATAAATTTAAAATAAAATAAAAGAGAGATCATACAAAGCGGTAATACTAAGAATAATGAGAAAATTAAATGAATTAATCAATAAGGATTGAGAGTAGATAAAAATAAAAATAATAGAATGTAATGTAATATATAAGTTATTTTTCACTTAGATGTCAAGATTTAAAATGTGTCTATATGCAAAAGAAATACAATTTTTGTCTACTTTATGATTAACAGGATTGTGTTCCACGTGAATGTGGATAGATTCAGAAATGAGTGTTTTTTCATGGTTAGGGACCGTGGCAAGGATAGAGATTTTTTTTTTGATTTTTTCAAAATCAAATGAGTGGTTGAGGGTTAAGGCATGTTCTGATAGTTTGGAGGCGGAAGGGTTCCGGGAAGTTACGGATGTTTTATGTTGGGTAATGTGGGTTTTGAGTTGGTTTTTAGTTTCACCAATATAGGAGCTATTACAATTAGGAGTAGAGCAAGGTATCCGATAAACTACATTAGATCAGTGTTGTAAAAGTATGGGATCCTTCAAGTTGGTGAAAAGGAATGAAAGTTTTTATGGGACTTAAGGCCAAGACATAAGTTGGTTATAGCTGATTTTAGGATTTTTTAAATATTATCTGAGAGAATAGGAATATACTCTTTTTGTTGGTATAGCAGTTTAAAAGTTTTAGTATGATGTTGAGAGGAAAATTATTAGAGAGGAGTATATTTTTGACACGCTGAGTGTTGGCTTGGTGGTATTGTGGATCAGATAGAGAGAAGGATCGGTGAATGAGGTTTTTTACGGTATTGATTTTTTGGTGGTAAGGGTGTTGAGAATAAAGGTTAAGTAGTCTGCCTGAGTATGTGGGTTTAGTGTACCAGTCAGTAGAAACATAGCCGTCAGTGTTTTTTATTATTAGGAGGTCTAAGAAGGGGAACGAATTGTTAACTTTTTTCTCTATAGTGAAACGGAGACTGGGGTGATAAGAGTTGAATGAGGAAAGAATTTGAGAGATGTTGTCAGGGTTAAGAACAAGGAGGAGGTCATCGACATATTTTTTGAAAATGATGTCTTGATGAAAAAAAGGGATAACAGAGTCTAGAAGGTCATTGAGAACAATATTGGAAGTATCTGGTGCTAATGAGTTTCCCATGGCTAGGTCAGAAATCTGATGAAAGAATATTCCTTGGAAGGTGAGGAATCCGGATCTGTAACAAAGCTCAAGAGATTCAAGGTATGAGGAGAGGTTAAGGGTGGTGTGAGGTTCGATGATTGTCCAGTTTTTCTGTACAATGTGGAGGGCTTTGTCTATTGGGATGTTGGTAAAAAGACTTTCGGCGTCTAGGGAAACAAGGATAAAGTTGTCAGGAATATGGAGAAAAGATAACTCTTCTTTAAGGTGGAATGAATTATTAATGTCATAAGGATTATTGTGACGAAGTTTTTTTTAATAGTTTAGTCGGAAATTTAATGACCTTTCAAAAATATGCTTTATTGTGGGAGGCCCTGAAACGTAAGCTAACAAAAAAGTCTCGGGAGTTTATATTATGTATAAAAAAATTAAGTAATAATTAACATGAGTAGCTCAGTGGTAGGGTGTTCACTTCTAATGTCCAAGGTCCCAGGTTCGAGTCTGGCTGAGACAGATGCATTATTTATTCTGATTAGTCGGCCTTGGATCAGGATATCCCTCTTGGGCACCTCCGCTCTCTATAAAATGTGCAGCTTTAATTAAAAATTGATTATGGGAGAAAACCTGGCGGTTGAGTGTGATCATGGTCAAATGAGCTCCTTGCAGGACCGACAGTAGTACTTCCTTACTAAGTACTGAACCCAATGATATAATGGGCTATGGGTTATAGCGTTGAAGCTTTTTTTTTTTTTTATCAAGCTTCTTTTAGGATTATTGTAAAATGAACTATACAGGGTGTCCCGTAAGTAGAGGAAAGTATTTAAAAGGCTGATAGTAGTCATCAACATCTACAAAAAAAAATGTTCATATAAATAATTGCCCGATTTACAGCAGAAAATGAGGAAATTTAAGATCTGTGGTTGTTTTAAGCGAGTAACTCTTTTTGTTGAATAGGGAGCGACAACTTAAAAATTATTTGATTAATGTAATTAAACCTGGCTTGAAAAATAATTAATAAATTAAAAATTACCTAATAGTCAACAAGACAAAAATTTACTTCAAACGGAGGAAGTTTTTTTTTTTTTAACTATTTATAAGGGACTTTTGAGGAGCTAAACTAAGTTTTGTTTTAGAAAAAATCATAAATTATTTGCTATTTTTTTTTATCATCATACAACTATACTTTAGTTACCCCACTTTTAGAACAACATTCTCATTTAATAAGTTTAAAGTCCATGTTAATTAAGTTGAGGTTTATTAGGAATAATTTTGAGATTTACCTCAAGTTGTGTAAAGAAATGATGTGATTTCGATCTAAAAGTACCTTGAATAGTAGTAGATCTACAAGTACCTTCAAAAGTACAAATGTTATCAGCGAGAGTTTTTGTTTGCAACGCTGTAAAGCATTTATTTCGTGTTTTTCCCTGATATGAGGTGTACTGTAATATAATATACAACTGCCTAAAAACCCATTATATTTATGAAAATGAAAAAATGAAAAATAACGATTTTTCAAATAGTTTTCATGTAAGGTCATAAGAATTGATGGGTATTTATAAGTGACAAACTTAATGTTTCTAGCCCTAACATTTACGTTTCTGTGAAAATAATTAAAGGAATCAGTAGGTTTCTTTATTTTAAACGTAAATTTTAGTAAGAAACATTAGCTTTGTTACCGAAAAATACAGATCAATCCCTATGATCCCTACGAGTTTTGAAAAAAACACGGTTTCCACCATCATAACACCACTTAACATGATACTAATTTTATTTAACTTATTTATAAGAATAATAATAATAAATTATTTAATATGATGTTACAATGTATGGATGTTAATTTACGATTGAGTAAGCTGATTTCATATTTTTACGTATCAGTTGAGACATAAAAATCTTGTTTATAAATTTTAAAATTCTTCAGCTTAACTCCCTGACTTATAAGGAATTAAGAATGGTAATAAGTATATAAATAATGCAACAAATGTAAAGATCAAATCTGAAAGTAGTAAACAATATTTATTCATTTTAAAAATCAAATTATTTTTATGACTCTAAATACTTCGAATTAAATGGGAAATCAGGATTAATTAAGAGAGCTAAAGGATCAATTTTAACATTTAATTTTTTTAATTAATTTTATAGGTCGATTGCCTTCCCCAGCATAACACCTTTTTAAGTTATTCATAGCTTTATCGATCAAAGAAAATTTGTAATATAACTTGCTATTGAATAATTAAAACTAAATACTTCAACGTAAAGATAAGTACAATTCTCCCATTTCCAAAAAAAGTAATATATAATAGAATTTTTAATTAATTAAACTTAATTTTACTGTGCCAACTGATATGATAATTTATATTTCTTTCCTAGAGAAGTTATTATATAAATACAAAATTAAAAATTCGGTGCCACTTCCCGTAAGTCGATTTCTGTGAAAAGGTTGCTGCAACTTCACTGCATTTACCTACCTTTAAAACGTAATAATACTTTTTTCAGGGTACCTAAAAAAAGTACACTTCCGTTCGAAATTTTCCATGGTTACAATACTTTCTCCTATTTATATATTTGATGAATAGATAAGTGAAAGTAAAAGTGTAGAATTTTCTTCACAACTAAATGGATTTTTATCATGTGGTTTAACAAAATTACTAGGATTTAAATTATATTTTTAATACGTACTCCAACTCTAAAAAAAAATAAGTAACAAGGGTTTTATTTAATAATAAAATTTTATTAAAGTAAATTATAAAGTTATATATATAATCAAAATATATAACATAGTAAGAGTGTGTTGTCACACCTCAGCATTTATAACAATAGTTTTCAGGGCTATATAATAAAAAAAAACGTTTCGCCCTCCTCTTTTTTTTTTCTTCTTGTCATAAACACACTTAAAATAAAAATACAAGCTTGAGATCATATATTCAAATCACAGAACAAATCCTACACAATCATTAGGAATCTCTAAAATAAATGTTACATGTGGAGATCTAAAAAAAGTAGTAGCCATCTTATTGTTATTCCTTAGATCTGTTTGGCAAACTAAATTAATTTAAAACTTATACATAAAGTTTCATATTTGGATTTAAAAATAAAATGATAGATGTACAAATTCAAAAAATATAATTAACTTTTATTAGCTGTGCCAACAATGGTATAACATTGTTGCATGTTTCAACATCAAAAATGGACCTTGTTGTGTATACAAATTTATTTAAATATAAATATATTAAAGGATTAATATTTGTTTCCAAGAGTCGCATTATAAAAGCACAGAACTAAATTTAAAGCAGTAACTTTTTTTTTTTACTTGTTGATAACTAATTTTTAACACAATAGAATCATAGTGAATAAACCGATTTAAAATAAATATTTGTATACACAACAAGGTTACAGGTATGCATTGAATTATATTTTAATGAACAAGTCAACTAATATAACAGATATAAACTTAATAATAGTTACAACTTTAGGAAGTTGAAAAGCATGACTGGATTCGTTATACTTTAAAAGTCATTCTGAAGGCAACCATATTTTATTTACATGAGTAAATGTGTCGAAAAAGCTATATAAAAATAAGTTAGTGCATCTTCACTTTGAGCAAAGAGCAAAAAAAAAGCATAACAAATGAAAAAAAAAATACAATCAACAATTTTTCATTCCACATGGCTCATGATTTTTGATGCCTTCAGAACAATAATTAAAGATTGTAATATACATAGAATTATTGCTAATATAAGAATTGCATACATCAATTTAACATAACTTTGCAACCATAACTGTCAGACTTCAGAAGCTGATTAAAAAAAATAATGAAAAAAAGGAGAAAAAAATAAAAACGGATATTGTTTACACTTTGGTTAGAAAAAAAATCTTTGGGAATGAATAATTAATAATGATGAGATCGGCCTTGTTAAATCAACTTACAAAATCAACTATAAACTAAAGACATAATATAATCTTACAAATATAGTAAAAAATAAGACAAATTGATATAGTAAAACCAAAGATTTATCAAATAATAAAAATTAAAATAAACAAATAGAAGCAGTCAATCAATATACATACAATGAACAATAAACTAATACTGAAACAAATCGATGCTTTTCAAGATAATGATTGAAAACAAAAATAAAATACAGAACTATGCAAGCTGCTAAGAGATCAGCGGAAAAAAATCAATATTCTATATAAAAATATACTTTTTAATTATGTAAATTAATATACAATTTGTAATATATCTAAAAAAAATAACACTTTTTTAAAAACATGTTATAATTTATTATTTAAAGGCTTTGAAGTTATAATATACTTTTTTATTTAGAAAAGTGTATAAATAGTAAGAGCAATATTTGCAATAAAATGCTAAATCAATAAAAATCAAAGCCTGATGGCACATATTATAAAACTACAATAAACAAACATAATTTAGCTCTCTATTTTTTTTTTTTTAATATTTTTTTGTTTTTTTCTATTTTGTTTCAAATATAATTTTTTTTAACGAAAATAATTAGTGTGATGAGAAAGCAAGTCGGGGCCTTTGAGGCGATTTAATCAACCTGCATAATCTGGACGGACTCTGCCTGAACCTCCTGTTCCTGGCTGAGGGCAGGTTTTCCGTCAGAGGCTCTCTTGAGACCCTTCCTCTTCGGCATGTAATCTGCAAGACAGAGAGAGGGCAATAATGAATCAAATGAAAAGAAACGAGCTGCCAAAAGGAGTGATCATTTCCCAAGCGGGAGGGAAAGTGGAAGGAGGTGAGGGGGGTGGGGTGTGGAAGTAGGTGAGGGGGGAGTGCCTGAAAACCGTTTGAAAATGACCGTTAAGGGAGAGGGCCATTGTGGCATGCCATGGGAAAAGGGAGGCACCCACCCTCGGCGGAAAAAGCCAGCAACCCCTACCTCACAAAAAATCATCCTTTTCTAGAATCTTCCCCATCCTCTGGGGGAGGGGAGCTTGTTAAAACCCTCCTGCGTTGCCCTTTAAAAATAACATCCTAATAAGAAGAATCGAGCTAAGTATGTTGAAACGTTATTAAGGTAGTAAACTACTATGAAAAAATAATAATAGTTTTCAAATCACAAAATGTATATATACACATTTGTGTGATACAATTGAGATATGTGATCAGCATATTTTTTTTTTAATGCGGCTATTTACCGAGAATGCTTAACACAGCACTATTGAAAGTTTTCGACTAAAAGCCAAAAATATGGATATTATTACACTGTTATGATATTTTTAATACTAATTTCTCTTATCCGCAAATCGGGAGCGCTTAAAACGAGCCGATTTTTAATGGAAAATAAATTTCTCTTAATTTGATATGGGGTTTAAATAATAAGTACCTATGGGAACTTATTTGGTATGGGGTTCCCGATAATGGAACGATTAAACCAACCATAATTTGGCAATGATTAAGTGCATTACTTAAAAAACAAATTTTTGCAGCTGATATCAGTAAATAAACTATAATCGGAGTGGGTAATCAAGCCGGCGAGAATTAATACAATAAGAGATTAAGGGAGAAAGACGGAGGAGGATGGGACGATAAAGAGAGAAGAACAAGAGGTACCTGGCTACTGTTCCCAGGAAGGAACCGGTTTTCGAGATTACGTTGAGGACTATTTGGATACGGGGAGCGAGGGCACAAGGCCGGCGGTAACCCTCCCCCCCCCCACCGTTTTTCTTACAATCACACGCGCGCGCTTATTACAAAAAACAATTATCAAGCTTAAAAAGGTTTGAGAGGGCGGCTAGGAGCCGTATCTGAATATATATTAACCAAAATCATGATAGATTTAAAAAAAAATAGTAAAATGCCTAATGAATTTAGAATAATACTGATGATATATCAAGGTTGCTTCACAGCTGTTTAAAATATATAATAAAGTTACGGAAAATTGAAAATAGATTCATACCATACATAATATAAAGGATTATTACATCAATTTTGACATTGCTTTTATCAACATGTTGTACAATGACTGATTGTATATCAAGATTATTTGAATATGATAGCCACTTATGACTGAAATTTGAAGGAGTAATAAGCTAAATTACAAATAAAATATATTTATATATACAGCCCCACTCTCCAGTACCAAGTAACATTATACAGGAAAGCGAAAGCTATAGAAAGGTGTGCCATATGCAAAGAAACAAATTTGTTACACCTTCGTTTCTTAGAATTTTTAAAATTATCATTAACTGTCAAATGTTATAACTGAATTAAACGACAATTTAAGTTTTAAAAAATGGATATATTAAACAGACTAATTCCAAATTTTGTTGACGTAAATGAAATTTGTAACATAAGATCATAATGATGATAAATGTGAAACTAAAGTGAGTGGGGGAATTGCCTAAGAGTTAAAAATCAGTAAATTATTATGGAGAAACATAGGGAAAATTAATGGTTTAAAACAGGAGAAATTCTAAATAGATGATGTAAATGAGTATAATTACCCGTCACTTTGGCCTGGCCAATCCGGCGTGGCTTTGGGGCGACAAGATGTTTCATTTGGGGTTTGTTGTAAAGCTCCCACTTGTAGGTCCCCTTCTTGTCGTCGACAGGTTTCTCGTTGGCGAAGTCGAAGTTCCACCTCGCCTTCTCTACATTTTCGATACGCCTCAGTTCCTGTTCTACGAAGAGAGAGTTTGTTGAAGAAAATACAAACTGGTCCTCTGCGAAGAGATTCTTGCGGACGCGGGCGAGGGCGATGGGGTCGATTGGGGACCGCCTGGCGGCGCACTTCTCCTCATGGTGCTTCATCAGCCTCACCCTCTCGGCCCGGGCGAAGGTTGCCCTGAGGACTTCAACACTAACACCGCTCATAGCCATCCAGCTACTATTCCAACCTAACTGAGCAAGAACCTTGAAACGACTGAGGCTACGCGGGCCCACCTCCCAGTCCAGAGCTCCATACCCCCACCTTCCCCCTCCACCAGCGGTTGGGTTCGGCAGCCTTCGGCTTACATCGATGCCTTTTTCGGTTCCATTAGTCAACTTTTAGAGATTCGTTACCCGCTCGATTTTATTTCGTCCTCGTCAACCCTCATCATCTGAGATATTTATAACTTGGTCATATTTTATTGTTATCTTTATTGATAAATGATTATATGAGATAACCCATTGATTGTAATAACCTCTTGCTTACGAGTATTGGATCGAGTATCAAGTTATTCATTAATTTTAATAACTAATAGAATATTTGAGGGCTGACTGACTTCCTGTCGTCAAACTAAATAAAAGATGAAAAGTAAATTAATACATTTGTAGTTTGTGTCATTATAAATTTTCCTTATAATAATTATATATTAGTAAAGTAATTTATAAGAAGGAGTTGGTCGGCGGAGGGGGGGGGAGGGAGGGAGGTGCGGGCGGTCATATGAATACTAAATTTTTAAAACAGTATTTTAATCGTTACGCCGACGTTTCGACTCACTTTGTAGATCTTCATCAGAGGGTGGTATAGGGATCTGCAGGAAGCCAATTTATGTTTATTTCGAATACAGAAAGACTTGAAGGGGGGAGGGGGGGGAGGATGGCCCATTTACTCAGGGGCTCCACAACACATTAATTTTATTGAATGGAAGCTTTATTGGAACAAATAAACATTTTTTTTTCACTAAATATATTTATGTACAAGTGAATTGGTCACTTTTATTATTAAATTGTGGTAGGTTACAAATAAGAGAAGTTATTTTCATTCGTCATTGTTATTTATTCACATGTTATTAGGTTACAAGTATGTTAGGTCTTAAGTTTGGATTTATATTTTATTAACTGCGTTATCATTTCATCATTTAAATTTTCCTGTTGTACAAAAGAACTTTAAACAATTTTTCTTCAGGTAATTGACAAATTGTTCATATTTTTCGGGATTATTTATTACTATTTTTTTTTAAATTAATGTTGAATACAAATTTTCTTCAAAAATAAAATGGCTTACAGTTTTTTTCAAGCAATCCATCCCCAAATTATATATTTTTTTTTGTTTTTTTTTGAGACTCAAAAATAAATCTATCCCCAAATGGTCTAGGTATGTCACTATATTTATTGAATTTTATAGTTTTTCATTTCATTTTATCCAGGTACAGTTTTACAAATCCTGCTTCTTTAATTACCTAATATAAGTAAGAGGTGCATTTATATGACACTATGGCCTAAAGAACCCTCATATAGGTTGAACAAAAGATCAAAAAGAAGTTAAGACGGACTAAACATTCAATTGACCTATGAGCTTTGTAATAGCAACAATGAAGTATTGATATATTACATATAATTCGTTATTAGTGTCTCTTAAAATTGTTAAATCCGATTTTTTCGTGAAATAGAAAAGTATTAATATTTGGTCTTTATTTTCTTGGAAGGATTTTATTCCTGGCTTTAACTTAAGTAATCATAACTCCTCTCAGTCTTCTTTGAATCCAACGGTACTACATCTGTTGAAAAGTTAAATTATTGTTCTTACGACCCATATCAATAAATGTATATGTTTGACACAAAATAACGAATGCTTTAGTAACTAAGTAAGTTCTAACATGTGTAACAAATTGATTCACATTGTGAGAAGTCGATCGTTGTAGATGCATTAATAAAATGAATTAATTACCTTGTAGCTCAACTTGCTCTCGCTTTAGCACCAGTGACGCGGTTGAGGACTTTTGGGTCATAGTACATGAGTACGGTTTGGATACTTTCCTTCCGATAGCAAGTACCTGATCGAATATAAATTAAATCTCAGCTTCTCGTGTCTAACATACATTCAAGAATAGATGTAGGTATTGTAAAAGAGTTGAATATAACACCTCATTTTATATTTTACATTATATAAATAAGACGTCATTTTTAGATACCTAACAAATATCAGTCCAAAAGTGACAATACTTCTGAGTATTTTATTTTATTTTTATTTAGAATTATAACAATGTGTTACGTGGACAATAGTTTATAGTGATACATGAACACATTCACACCATATATAATAATAATAATAATAATATTAATAATAATAACCCGTGAGGAGTTGCTAGTCTCCCATCGGGCGCCTCCCCAGGTGGCGGATAGGGGAAATCTCACCAGATATGGTGGGTACCGGGGAAATAAAATACCCGGGGTGGACCAAAACTAGCAAAATCCAGGTGTGACGGTTCCCATATTGGGCAGCAACCTGGTCAGCGTCTGTTCTCCATGTCAGGAGCGGCTGTTTAAATCACCTGGCAGGAAGGTATAAAATGCACCTACCCATTAAAAATGGAGCTACGAAATAGAAGATTAGCCTCGGACGAGCCCGATACTGAGGCTGCATCGGGCGGGAACAGTGGACAGCTTCCTTCAGGGACTAGTGGAGCGAGCGGCACTACCCTGTCGTCACGGACCGCAAGGCTGCAACGTTTACCGGCCAACAGTTCGAGTTCGAGCTTGGAGGAGAGACATTCTCCACCCGCGCGAGTTCGGCAACAGAGACCAAGAGGTGCAAAGAGGATGAAATGGACGCCAAATATGAATATGGCTGTCATCCGAGCATACTACTTGGCAACAAAACTTGAAACAGAGAAAACAGGATATCTGAACCGTATACAGAGATACTGGCTTGAGTCCTTCCCAGATATTAATATAAGCACGCAGAGACTGAGTGATCAGGTAAGAGTAATACTTACGAGAAATTTTCTTACTTCAAATGACCTCCAACAACTTAAAAACGAAGTTCGTATGTTAATAGCCACTGAAAATGATGTCGAGCTCTTTGATGGAGCGCTAATTACAAGAATAGATTCAGACGCTGGTGTAATCAATGCCTCAGTCGGTAATAAAGATTCAGCGGAACAATTGAATGATGCGGATATAGAAAATAGATTGAGTCAATCACTTTTGACCGAGCATATTCTACTTGAGGGAATACCGCTTCAGGAGCGACCATCGTTGCCACGAGTACCGTATAATAAGGCCACAATTAAAATAACCAATATAATGAATAATGTCCTTAAGGATAATATAGCCCTAATTAATGGCCTTCAAGATATCCCTCATTGGCTATATATTTCTGCCAAGATAGTTACATTAGAACTGGGCATAAAAATGGAAGAAGATAAAAGTAAAAATAAACTTCCAACTGGATATAATGGAATACCACAGTGAAAGAGAAGACTTCAAAGGAAAATTGATACCTTACGTGGAAAAATTGGCGTCATCTTAAACTATATTCGTAACCCTTAAGCTGCAAGACCTAAGACAAAAAGGATGATAGATGAGATTATAGTACAGAATTTGGGAACCGTAATGGAAAGTGAGTTAATTGATAAACTGACTCGATATCTAGATATTCTGAAACAAAAGCTGGCAGTTTACGCCAGCAGATTGCGCAGATATAGTGAGGCAGCTTTACGCAGGAAACAAAATCAGCTGTTCAAGCAGAATGAACGTCAGTTTTATAGAAACCTAGTAAAAGAAGAAAAAATATGGATCAAATACCCTGATGACATTGAAACCCATTGGAAAAATTTATGGGAAAAATCGGGGAATCACCTCGAGAGCTCTTGGATACAAGAAGAACTGCAAAGTCTTCAGAATGTCAATGGAATGATGGAAGTGACCATAACTGTGGAAGATGTTTCGGAAGCGGTCATAAACATGAATAATTGGAGGGCACCAGGACCTGACGGAATACAAAATTACTGGATTAAAAGATTTCATTGGTTCCATGAATTGCTGGCCAAAGGAGCCAGAACCACAAATTCCCGAGAACGAACATTGCTATCTGCACTTAATTCCCATCACAGCAACATCCTCTCACCCAATTCTCCCACATACTGGCCAACAGATCCTAACCGCAATCCCGATCTCCTAGATTTTTTCATCCACAAAGGTCTAGGGTCCCTTCATTATTGCATCTCAAGACTTGATGATCTTTCCTCAGACCATAGTCCCCTAATCCTAACGGTCTCCACATCACCAATTCCCAAACCACCTCCACCTTCATTTATCAGGGGGCCAGTTAATTGGAACCTCTTCCGTCAAATACTGGATGATAATATTGACCTCAGAGTTTCCTTAAAAACACCCGCAGACCTAGATGAAGCAGTATATTCCATGACTACCTTGATCCAACAAGCAGTTTGGACTGCATCATCACCTTATCCTTCTAAAAAATACCGCAAAATAAATCCTCTAGCCCAAGACCTACTGGACCTTATTAATAGAAAACGATGCTCTAGGGTCATCTGGCAAAGAACCAGGCATCCTGATGATCGGAAATCATATAACTATTATTCCAAGCAGGTAAAACAAAAACTGGCTACGTTTAGATCACAATCCTATAATTCCTATCTTTCCTCACTATCTGCAAGTGATAACTCCCTCTGGAATGTAACTAAAAAAATCCTTAAATTCCAATCCATTTCCCACCCCCTCCGCCGTGATGATGGTTCCTGGGCTTCGTCAGATGAGAATAGAGCAGAAGAGTTTGCTAAACATCTATCGTACACATTCACTCCTCATCCTGAACTCCATCCCTCCCATACTGCTGAAGTTAAAGAATTCCTCTCTTCACCGATTCCTCTCTCCTTACCTCCTACAGCCGTCAACCCCTCTGAGGTCAAATTCCTTTTAAAGAACCTAAAACCTCGCAAATCTCCAGGACACGATCTCCTTACTTCCCAGATCCTCAGACAACTTCCCAAAAAAGCAATTATATTCCTTACATACCTATTCAACTGTATCCTCCGCACAACCCACTTTCCTCTGGTGTGGAAACACTCCATAATTATCCTCTTTCCTAAACCAGGTAAACCTGTTAATTGTACATCATCCTATAGACCGATAAGCTTACTTCCGATCCTTTCCAAAATCTTTGAGAAAATCCTTCTCAAACGCATCCTACCCATACTCGAATCCCACAATATCCCTTCCCATCAGTTTGGATTCCGCTCAAGACAC